CAACAATATAGTCTCGCATCGTACGGGTGACGTCCGCATGTGCTAATCCCAGCTTCTTGTACCACTTCTTGAACGAATTTTGACCATCCGTCACCGAAAATCAATCGCAGATCTGATCGAGACAACTAACGCCCTATCTATAGGTTTTATACTCTTTGGTACATGTTGGCGCGCTGAATGTGCGTTTCGGAGCTGAACTTAACGTTATGCAGTAGTTACGGTATATAGATCTACATTTGGAAATCACACTATCAATTGTACTGTCAAACAGAGATACAGCCACGATACTGTTTCAATGGGAGACAGCTTGACGGGATGACCCTTTGTGCATTCTTTTTTCTCGAAGAAGACATGGCGAGAAAACTGAGCGCTAGTCTAGCGCACAGTGTCCGTGCATATAGCTCTTTTACTCACGAAGCTTCCAAATGCTGTACTGAGGTGTAATAGCTGGCAGAGTTGATCACCATCTCTTCCGCGGAATCAAACCGAATTTTTTTTTGGATGGCTTCAACTTCCGCAAGCGCGCTTGGCAAAAGCACTTCGGGCTCGTAGGGCCCCATCCATATCCAGAGTTCTTACGGTTTGCGCTCAGCGGTCTCAGTGCTGGGCATCATGGTGATAAGTATGTCCACTTTGCACACACACTATACCTATGCTTTGGCTGTTCTGTCCAACAGCAGCGCTAAAACCCATTCCATGATAGACCGCATTTGTCGTGCAACCACTCTGTTTTGCCGTGGGAAATAAACATTACTGAATCGTGTGTGTGGTCTATACATTTGGGAGAGTATACGACCAAGATATTCGAATGCTTTCGCGTGAACGGTTTGACGCTGTCGAATATATCGTGATCCTCGATGACGCAAGCACTTTCAAGTGCGTTGATGTGGGTTTTCATCTGAAAGCTAGCTTTTATACAGCCCGCTGCGGCTCCGCATTGGATACGTGAACATGAATCGGTAACAGCCAGGGTTGCTCAAAATATTACTGTTACCTATTTCCATCTCCGGCGACAATAAATAGCGGCGAGGGACTGCTAGGAACTGCAAATAAGTATGGTGAACGACAAGACCAGAAAATAAATAACTAGTAGGAACAACGAGTGACCATGTTGGTTGTGTTTTCCTAGATAACTGCGTCAACCGTTGTGACGTCCCAGTACTTGCTGTTCAACTTCAAGAACAGCAACATCTCTAGCATGAGAGGCGACAACCGGTTTCGCTCGTACCTCAGCACCATACGCGCCGTGCTGAACAGCCGCTCAGCTGCATTCTACGTCGGCGGAATCGCGTTTAGCTGACTGTAGGCGCTCTTGTCTTCTTGCACCTTCCTGCGCTTCAAAATCCTGTCCGCAAACCCCACCTTGGCCGTCTTCTCGGTCACATCGGCGGCTTCGGCCGTCTTACGTTCAAACGGCTTTAGCGCAGCCTTTTCAGCACGCGAGAGCAGCTTCGCTCGACCTCCCAGGACTTTAATCACGGCGTTTCGAACTCGGGAGCAGCGACGATATCCGCGTCCGGGGCTGAAAAAAAAAGTTTTTTTTTAGCAAGATAAGCAAAACACCAAACATTAGATATAAACACTTACCGAGATAATGGCGGAAGCTTGGCTTTACTTCCAGCAGGCCATCGAGCAAGTCGCCGCAGGCCTTACACACCTGAAGACCAGTCGGGTCCCCATCCTCCGTCAGGTAAGGCTTGAAGTAAAACTCAGCGATCTGCTTCGGGGTGAAGCTGCTCTGAGAGCGCTGGGAAGGCATCAGCGA